TCTGCTTCAATTCAATAAGATATCCGAATACGTCCATCTTTTTATTCTAAGTAAAATGTCATTTCCGAAAAATAGAAGCGTAAGTGTTTCAAAAGGTTTAATGGCGGTGGCAGATGTGAAGTTAAATTCACCAACTCAAACAAACAGTCAAAGTGTTGTTGTCAATGTCAAAGACAGAGATGTTGAAGTGGGAAACCATACGAAGACGAAGATGGTATAACAATTGTTCCTGTAAAAGAACAACCAACATATCCTGAAGTTAGCAGAGACTTAAGTTCTGTTGCAGATATTCGAAACGACTACCAACAACTGAAAGACAAACTTCAAACTCAGGAGAAGATTTGTCAAGCTTTAAGTATAATGTTAAACTTGGTCGAACACAACCCTGTAAAAGTGAACTCATATGTCATTGCACCTCATGAAGTTTTGAAAGAACTATTGAAACTTTTGACAGAGGCAGACGATATAAACATCAAAAAAATAGAACCCGACATTAGTTGCTGTGGTGTTTCATATAATGCCATTGACAAGATATACGTTATGAAAGGAGGTGAAACGTTGAACTTAAAATATAGTTTCCCAGACGTTATAAAAATATTTGACGACCACAACATTTCATTAAAATTTATTTGCTAAGTAAATGGCAGAAGACATAATGGTTTATACTATTACGACTAAAAAACCCTGAGTCATATAATTCTATAACAACAAACTTACAAAGTCCTCAAGGACGATATTGTAAACTAACCTTAAACACAATGACGACTAAAGCCTGTTTTGCTCTTTTGACACCAGAAGACTTTATTGTTGTGAATGGTAAAAAAATACTCCTTTGAAGATACTTACTCAGATATACCACCAACAGGTTTTGTTGACTTATTTAATACTTAAGTACGGGTGTAACATGTGCTGCAACTAGAGCAGGTTTCATTATGTTTGGATGTCCGACTGAGTTTACTATAAACGATATGAGCTATAATACAAAACTTATTTCTGGTTTTTACTACCAACAGTTTCCTATAACAGGAAAAGGTGTCATACAAGGAATGTCTATTCCATTGACATTAAGCACACCAATCTTATATATTGTTTCAAACTTAGGTTCAAAGTGTTATTCGAATGTCGACAGAAACTATTATGACCAAAAGATACTTATGCGTATAAACAATACTTTCTCTGCTGGTTTGCCTATTGTTCATTCGAATGCAGAATTTTCAACCTTAGTGAACTCAAACACTTTGGCAAGTATAACGTTGACATTAGTTGACGCAAACTTTGTTCCTGTAAAACTTTTATGTCCTATGTATTTGTCAATGACGGCAGAAAGTTTCGAATTGGAAGATGCAACTGGTGAAAGTATTGTATTACAAGAACAACTTCAACAACAAATAGCTCAAGAACAACAAATGCAACAAATGGAACAACAAAGTCAAGAATAAAAAAATATTATTTTTTTTATTTTTATAAAAATGTACAGAATAGATGTTTCAGATTTTTATGACTTCCAAGCATTCAGAAATATGTGTCCATTTAGAGACTATAACAAAGCAGTCGAGAATTTGAAACGTTTAGTCATTTATGTTGACTCTGCCCCAGAATGTTATGTCATGAAAGAATGGGATGTTGTCTTTAACAAACCAAGAGCAACAATAGTGTCTGAACAAGAATGTAGACAGAAACTTAAGAAAATAAAAGTTGTACAAGTTGGAATGAAGATGTTAGATGCTTGGGATATCTTATTGTCAAAACTTGAAGATTTTTCAGTTCGTGGTATAAAGTTTTATACACCTTCTCCAAACTTCTATTCTATCTTCACTGGATATAAATATGAACAAGTAGAATGGAAAGAAAATATTATAGAAGCTTGGTTAGACCATGTCAAAGAAATTATATGCAATGGAAACGAAAAGGTTTATGAGTATATCTTATGTTGGTTTGCAAATATCTTACAACATCCAAGTGCTAAAAATGAAACTGCTCTCATTATAATTGGAAAACAAGGAACTGGTAAGAACACATTCTTTACAGATATTTTGTGCAAACTGTTAGAAGGTTATTCGAATCCGAATATGACAAACTTAGAAAACATCTGTGGCAAGTTTAACTCCTCAATAGAGAATATGAAACTTATAGTTTGCAATGAACTTCAAAGTATAGATACAACAAAAGTTTTGAACTCAGATGCTTTGAAGAGTCTTATAACAGACAAAGTTGGAGTTGTTGAAAGAAAGTATAAAGACCAAAGAGTTTGTGAAAATGTTGCAAACTTCATTATGGTTTCAAACAATGCTGTTCCGATGAAGTTAGAAAGTTCTGACAGAAGATATGTAGTTGTCAGAACGTCAGATTCTCATATGCAAGATACAGAATATTTTGACGACTTAGCAGAAACTTTGACATCTGACTTTTACAACCACTTGTTCTCATATTTCATGACATTAGATATTTCTAAGTTCAATCCAAGACAAATTCCACATACCGAAGAGAGACAAACATTGTTAGAAGCAAACAAGAGTGTATATGAACTGTTCATAGATGAAACTGACTTTGTGTCATTAGATGAAAAGTCTTTATATGATGAATATAAACAATATTGTCAAGAATATGGTTATATGGCAGCTTCTAAACGTACATTCTTGGCAAATGTCAAAAGTCTTTTAGATGTTCAGAATGGTGTATATACAAAGAAAAATTTTTCTGAGTAAATTTTAAAAAAAATATTTTTTATCCGATAGAAAAGATGATGAAATATATTTCAGTAAACAAGTACATGTCAGGACTTAAAGAAGAACTAGACCCATTCACATATTTGAATGTTTACTTCTACCATTTTGAAAAGTCTTCATTCAGCAAAGTTTGGAACATCGAACCAGTTAAGTTTGCTATTGTGACTAAAAATGGTGCGAAATTTGAAGACTTAGACATAGAAGGTTTGTTAACAGTCAAAGAAAGTTTTGACAGAAGGTTCTCAAACCTTAAAGAAGGCAAAGCATACAAACTTGTTATACCTTATGAACCAAAGAAGACAGACGACTATGAATATTATGAGTCTAAAGTTGTAGAAGTTCAAGGTAAATTGGGTAAAAAGATTTTAGAGTCTAAGCCAGTGTTTACTCCTAAAGAGGAAGAGAACATTGACATTGACCCAGAAATGTTCTAAAAATAAAATTTGTTCGACTTCTGGTCAATTTGACCAAACCGTCAATTCGTTCAAAGATATTATAAAGAAGTCTAAGTTAGTATGTATAAAGGATACTGAGTTGTTAGATTGGATAAAGAAGTACCAAAGAAGAGTTTTGAAGTATAATGCTATAAATGAGTATATAAATTCTAAGTTTAAAGACCCAAATGAGGAAATGCAGAGAATATTAGAGAAGAAACACTTCAGAAACAAACAGAAAGAGATAGAATACATTTCGAAGAAATTGCAATCTTATGATTGGAAGACTTACCCTCATAGATGTCTTCTTATCTTAGATGATTTCGCCTCTCATCCTTTGTTAAAGAATAGAGAACAAGATATGTGTCGAATTCTTAAGAAGCTCAGACACTTTAACATTTCAGTCGTAATATGTGTACAGACAGCCAAGAGTTTAAGTAAGGATGTTAAAAGAATACTTACTGACATAATACTTTTCCCCGGATTGTCCGAAGACGATTTCATGGAACTTATGAAAGAGTCCATGGCAGGTAAGTTTGACAGACATGAACTATGGGAGAAGTACAAAGTCATACAAGACCCTCATACTTCTTTCAGAATTCATATCTACGCAAACAAAGTTCAAATTGTAAAAAGTCAATAAAAATAAATGGTTCATCTACCCTACTTGTTTGAAGTTGTCAAAATACTCTGTTATTTTTTCTTTCAGTAGCGGTAAGTCTTCTTTGAAGGTAAGTATTGTACAACCTTTCATATCATAGTGTGTTTGAGGTAACGTATCTTGAACTATTTGTTTCACATCTTCATTTGGGGTCATTGAAATCGGTAAGTTTTCGCGATAGAACCAATTTCTGTCAGATTTGTAAATCTTAGCAAGGTCGTAAAAGCTTTTGTTGTTTCTTCTGACTAAATGCAACATAACCATATCTTTATCTTCTTCATTTTCCATCTCTTCAGTATATATCATATACTTATAGTTCTTTTCCTTTCCTTTTGGTACCGAACGTGGTATTCTTTTCTGAATGCTTTTGTCTTTTGCTTCAAGCTTGTTTTCCATTTCTTTTCTCATTTCTGTATGTAAATCGTCAAGAAGTTTGTAAATATACCAAGCATAACGAGGCGAAGCCCACATTGCAACAGCATTTACAAGAAGTCTATGTACATAATATCCTCTCAAACCGTTTGGCAATTTTTCACGATTTTCATAGAGTTTTGGCGACTGGGGTTTTTCTCCCACTCGAGTTTTTGCGACTACGAGAAATCCCGTAGTCGAATTTTCAGCTTCATTTAATAGTTCAATAGTGCTTTGGTTCCTAAACCAGTCTTGTGGTTTCTTATTGTCGGGTGCAAAACATGCTGTCAAAATACTTTGCATTTGGTACATATCGTCTTTGACCGAACGAATGAGACGTAACTGTTTGTTATACTGTATGTACTCGTATTCTTCATTTATAGCTTCATGGACTATAACTGTTGTTGTGTTCTCTGATGTTGACATATCTGTCTTTACATACAAAATAAAAAAATAAATAAAAATAAAACTAACTTTATTTTTTCTATCTTAAGGAAATTCATGATTTTTGTGCTGAATTCAATAAAAATAATGTTTAGGTGAAGAGGTGAGATTTCACCTGTTTTTTCACCTCATTTCTACCCCAGTTATTTTATAAACGTTTCACATGGTAAACGTTATTTTTTAAATTTTGTGAAAACTCAACGGTTTGACACATGCCCTAAAAATTATTTTACTCAGAATTTTGTGCTGAATTCAGCAAAAATATATTTTAGGGTAGAAGGTTAGATCTAACCCGATAACTAACCTCTTTTCTACCCTCATTATTTATAAACGTTTTACATGGTAAACGTTATGAATTCGTGAGACTCTAAACAGTTTTGTAGCTTCTATTTCTTCTTTTAGTACATCGAATGTTTTAACGATACCGAAAGTTTCTTTATACTTCTTCTTGACATCAGATAGAAGGAAATCGTCAGCAGTTGGATAGTTTTTGTTCAGAAATTCTAACATGTCCATTTTATTTTCAACCGGCTTCTCTGCTTCTTTCTTTAAATCTGCATAGTCGTTTCGCATACGTTCTATCTCTTTGACGGAGTAGTTATATTTCCTAATTGCTGCTTTACATTTAGAACATCGCGGGTTCATTTTTGCGTTATATTCTGAAACCTTACCTGCTAAAACAACCAAGGCGTCAATGGTTTTCTTTAAATCTGAAGCAGTTGGTTTTATCTGTTCATTCTATACCTTACCTCTTCTATCTTTATCTCTTATCTGCCATACACATTTTGCAGCTAATGAAACAAAGTTGTCGTATGTCTTAAATTCTTCGGATTTGTAAAGGTCAGAGATGTTCTTATATAACATGTCGCAATCTTTGTCCATAACTTTATGGTTGCAATGATATCCTAGAAACTCATAGTTTACCTTTCGTATGAACTTCTTTATTTCTACTGAGTCAGTTGCTTTGACTTCAATTTCGTCGAATTCAGGAATAGTGAGCTTTTGCTGCTGAATTTCAGGTAGTTTAGGCAAATGGTCGATGAGGTCCTCCATTTCATAAAGATATTCTTCATTTTCTTCATCCTGTGCGGTACAGTCTAAATTACTTGTTAAAAGTTCTTGGATTTCTGTTTCAAAAGTATATGAAGAAGGAATGAAGCTTTTCATCTCTACTAACATAGATGTTGGATTCATGACTAACGAGTTTGGTGCTGTTGTTTGAATTGTTGTTGTGCCGATTGTTGAAATCATATCTTACATACAAAATAAAAAAATAAATAAAAATAAAACTAACTTTATTTTTTCTATCTTAAGGAAATTCATGAAAATTCAAGAGGGTAGAAATGAGGTTAGATCTAACCATCTACCCTAAACGAGATATAAAAATTGCTCACATTTGCTCACATTTTGGCACTTTTTTGTACGTTTGTCAAAAAATTGTGAGGAAGATCTCACAAAAATAGTCAAAATGTGAGCAAATTTTGAGAAGTGCTCACATTTTGACATACGATTATTTTCATACGTTTTTTTGATGAATTCTAATAAAACTTCATTACCACTTTCAGAACGAAGCGTAACTTTTCAGCACGTAACGCTCTATCATGTGTAGTGACATATTATTCAAAAAAACTCAGATTGCTTATCTTATAATAACAATTTCATTAGAAAAAATGCACGATTTCACGCTAAAACTTTGAAGCAATTCTTAAATTCGGATAAAAAATCGATATGTATTACACTTTAAACTTCAAAAAATGGTTCAAAATTTAGACTTAGTTTATCTTAACAATATAGCAGATTTTAAGCCGAACAAGTAGGAGTAATAGAAATAGCTCTTGAAAATAATTGCAATTAGTAATATGTAAGTCAAAGTTCGAGTATTCTAATAAATAAACGTTCCGGATTTTCTTTACTACAAGAATCAATACTTAATATATAGAAGCAACAGTAAAAACTTATTAGAGATTCAAAAAGAAAGTTGACTAAAGAGAATCTTTTTATATAAGTAATTTTATTTTTTTGAAATACGAGATCGAATAAACATGTATTTTATTTTATTACTATAATAATACGTTTTTACATAGTAAGAAAGTTTAGAGACTGAAATGAAATTAAAAATTGAGAAAAAAATAAAGCTTTTCTATAAAAATTCATATTAATATATAGTATAATGATATTACAATTTATTGATCAAATAAAAAGAATATTTGTTGAATAATTTCTGTTCAAATTAAAAGTTCTTCAACTTACGGTAAATCTATCTGCCTTAAAAAGTATTACGATATTATGCAAAGTCAATTTTCTCCAAAAAAATATTTGAAGATGATACTTTAAGTATACCAAAAATACAAGAATTTTGAGAGAACTCAATGAATTTTTGTGAAGGTGGAGTTAAATTGAGAAGATTTTTGGTCAGAGAAAAACAAAAATTACTATCTGATAAAATGGTATTAAAATGAAAAAAGTTTAAACAAAGGAAATGAAGAATTTATATTATATTAGAATTTAAAGAGTAAATATAAAAGATTGAAAGAAAGAATAATAATAGGATTCTTGAATGCAACATTTGGAATGATGTTTCCAGTTGTAGATGTGTTAAGCAAAGAGAGATAATGATAGTTTCTTGAGTTTTGAGTTAAGCTTGTTGTAGATGAGAGAGAAATTTTGACGAGACTGAGGAACTTCATTTGGAATGATGTTTCCAGTTGTAGATGTGTTAAGCAAAGAGAGATAATGATAGTTTCTTGAGTTTTTGCAATTAACCATCCTCAATGACTATTGTTTTAATATAATTTTTAAATTTTTTAAAACTGACATTTTAGTTGTATATTTTTTCTAACAAAGGTACATTCACTAGGCGATAACAGTAAAATGGGATGAAAATATGATAAATAGCATCCCTATATAGTGCCAAACAATATTTATACGGGCCAAAAAAATTGGCTAGAGATTTGGCGAGTTATAAAACTTAGAAAATTGAGAGGGATTTTTATTTTTGAATTTTTTTTGGAAAGTTAAAATTGCGATTAAAAATCGATTTCCAGGAGAACTAAGCATCTCATCATATATTTAAATCGATAAAAATATTAAATAATAGTTGAATAGTATAACAACGTGAAATTATGGCTGAATCTACAGAAAAAATGAACATATTTGACATTTTTGAAAATTCATACGTTAGATGGTGACAGACTCATAAACTATACTTTAGCTAAGATTGATATATGGTTTCAACAACACATGGTTAAAATTGTAAAAATATTTTAGATTTCAAAAAGATATATATGGTAATATAATGGAACAAAGTCAACAAATAGCATGTTAAATATGTTATAATTAACTTTTTATTAGATCCAATAGTAGATATCGAATGGTTTCCAGCTTTATGGTTAAATATTTTCTTTTCGAGCTTCTCTTTAACTGTTGTATTAAGGTTGTAAATTTTTGATGCTAGAAACTATGGAATCTTCTTTGCTGCTGCATTTTTCTTGAGAGTTCTTGCAATTTCGAATAGATCTGCGCATTGTATGAAATTGAGGCTTTAAAATATCTTGAAAACAGAATAGGACTGCTTTTCCAAAGGAATGCTTACTTGTAAATCAGAGAGTTTCAAAATTGAGAGCAAGATTATCATCATAACTTTCGATTTTGCTGCGAAAAAGGAAGACAAGTAATTAACAAATCATTTACTGTTGTTCATCAAAAGAAGAAAACTTTGATAACAACTAATGATGATAAAATCAAGCTATCTTTTAATATTTTAAATTGATAAGACATTCAAAATATTTGAATGGTTTAAAATATTTTCTTTTAATTTCTATAAGATATTATCATGATTATATAATAAAATTTAAATTTTTATTCAAAAAGGCAATATTTCAAACTTTTAATTTCAAAAATCTTAATTCTGCAATAAGTGTATTTAATTGTAGCAAATTTAATGATCCTTCGTCATGCTTAGCAATTTGGAACTCATAAATTAATGATTTCTTCAAGTAAAATTCTGCATTATTTCAAAAGTCAATAATTCTCTAGTAACTTTTCTTCAAACCCTAACCATTATATTATATGTATAATGGAGAATAATTGCAAAGAAAGATAGCCGAATTTACTGGGTAGTTCTTGTGATGCGAAATAATTGCAAATTAACACATAGTTTTAACAGCATCAATCTCTTTTTGCTCTCATTTAAATGCATTCGCACACTTTAATTTTGAAATATAAGAGTTTTGGAAATTATCAAATTTATCTGCTCAAATACTATAGATCTTCATAAGTGTTAATAGAATCACCAGCCTTACATATAGTGTTTAATATAATGATGCACATCATACTGGGATTTATTCCTTATTCATCTAGTTATTATAAGATTTACAACCCCATGAAAATTTAAAATTTTGTCAAAAATAGTGAATGTACCTTTTTTCTAACACAACTATCAATAAATTGTAATATCATTATACTATATATTAATATGAATTTTTATAGAAAAGCTTTTTTTTTTCTCAATTTTTAATTTCATTTCAGTCTCTAAACTTTCTTACTATGTAAAAACGTATTATTATAGTAATAAAATAAAATACATGTTTATTCGATCTCGTATTTCAAAAAAATAAAATTACTTATATAAAAAGATTCTCTTTAGTCAACTTTCTTTTTGAATCTCTAATAAGTTTTTACTGTTGCTTCTATATATTAAGTATTGATTCTTGTAGTAAAGAAAATCCGGAACGTTTATTTATTAGAATACTCGAACTTTGACTTACATATTACTAATTGCAATTATTTTCAAGAGCTATTTCTATTACTCCTACTTGTTCGGCTTAAAATCTGCTATATTGTTAAGATAAACTAAGTCTAAATTTTGAACCATTTTTTGAAGTTTAAAGTGTAATACATATCGATTTTTTATCCGAATTTAAGAATTGCTTCAAAGTTTTAGCGTGAAATCGTGCATTTTTTCTAATGAAATTGTTATTATAAGATAAGCAATCTGAGTTTTTTTGAATAATATGTCACTACACATGATAGAGCGTTACGTGCTGAAAAGTTACGCTTCGTTCTGAAAGTGGTAATGAAGTTTTATTAGAATTCATCAAAAAAACGTATGAAAATAATCGTATGTCAAAATGTGAGCACTTCTCAAAATTTGCTCACATTTTGACTATTTTTGTGAGATCTTCCTCACAATTTTTTGACAAACGTACAAAAAAGTGCCAAAATGTGAGCAAATGTGAGCAATTTTTATATCTCACCCTAAACATTATTTTTGCTGAATTCAGCAACAAAATGAACGAGGTCAGGATGTATGTAAATACCTTTGAATTCATTTATAACGCCCTTAGTAAGCTCATAAAATGCTTGTTTTGAGGTCGAGCCACTTTTGGCTCCACCGTATTCTTTCAACCAAAACTCAAGAATTTCCTGCATGAATTTTGTATAAAAAGCAACCGTCTGAATTCCGGCGGTTGCTATATTCTTCACAAAATGCCTTATAATACTCTTCCCAGGACTTATTTTCCAACAACTTTCTAAAGTCTTTCCTAAACTGACTGACTGACTGACTGACTGACGGCACAAAGTGGCTTAACGAAAACATTAATATATAAAATTCATGAAAATTCAAGAGGGTGAAAAAAGAGGTGAAATCTCACCTCTTCACCTAAATTATATTTTTTGGTCCGGGAACAACTTTCTCTCAATTGGAACTGTAGCATACTCTTTGCGTAAGCGGTTCAGACCTTCTTCGAAGTCTTGGTCTCTCTTGGACTGAGATTGGAATTGGAATTGTGGGGCAGGGTTTTGCATAAACATCCAAGGGTTGGGGAAGTAAGGCATAGGCTGAGGAGGGTAGTTCGGGAAGCCTTGTGGTGGGTAGTAACCTTGAGGTGGAAATTGGTAGTAATTCGGAGGTACTTGCTGGAACTGAGGTTGCTGAGGAGACTGTTGTGGTTCTTTAGGTTCCTCTGGTTTGGGAATGGACTCGGTTGGTGGGACGTCGGACATTCGTTTGTGGCTTCACCGTCGGACCACAACGATAAAAATCTCTGCTACTAGCAGTACTTTTACTGACAGTAGCAGTACTTTTACTGACAGTAGCAGTACTTTATCGTCGAAAACCCTCTCAAATTTTCCTTTTTACTGCTTCTAGCAGTACTTTTTCTGCTACTAGCAGTACTTTTACTGACAGTAGCAGTACTTTTTCTGACAGTAGCAGTACTTTTTCTGACAGTAGCAGTACTTTTACTGACAGTAACAGTACTTTTTCTGACAGTAGCAATGGTCGAGGTCGAACCTACCGACGAGGCAATTTACCTAATTGAAATTAACGAGCTTGTTAAAGACTTCCTCAGGCAGAATGTAAAAGGCAAGCTTGTTAACGGTTGGATAACGGGAAGGGCTGCCTTGACTCTCGAGATTTCGACTGGAATTCCAATTGAGGTACCAGAAGGCACTCCTTTCGACGACATAAAGCAAGCAAAGAAAGAAGCTCTTGTTAAGTTCTTTGCAAAGCGCCCATGGATACAACTTCCAAACAGAGAGAACCCTTTCCCAAGAATGAACCAAATTCTCAAGGGTCTCCTTCACTTCTCTGGTCAACCATTCTACATAACCTGTGAAGGCGACATCCAACCAGTTCAGTAAACATCTCATTTTAACTCACTTTTTTTATGTTTTTTGTGAAAGTGTCAAAAATAAATTGTTTTCATGAGTTTTCTACGATGTTAGAAAAAATGTTATTTTCTAATATCTTCACATTCAATACTTTTTCAGCACTTTTCCGTAGTTATATATGAAAGACAATTCGAGATAAAAGTCATAGTACAATGGAATAATATGTTGCACACCATTTGTTGTGAACCAAACTTGAAAGTCAGAGAAACTGTTACTAGGTGGTTCGTAGAATTTAGAAGCAATGTCATAAAGGTCCTTACCAATACATAGAAAACTATTGTTGCTTGAACTGAAACTTGCATGACACATAACATTTTGAGGGTCAAACACGTTTCTATAAACCATCAAATCTGCTGGTGGAGGTATAAATTTAAATGGACCATCTGGTGGTAATGGTTCGTTCTGGTTTAGTAACCGAAGAAATTGTGCCCAAGAACGTTTGTCTACTTCCCAAAATAAAAACTCTGTATCTCTTGGAGGGTTAATTTCAATCTTTTGAAATGAAACGGTGGAGTTCATCTTGTCATATTCTAGTTTCAGATAGTATGTTCCATTTAGTAAAGAGTCGTATTTTTCTTGAAATTCCCAATAATATTTGTTCATTTGAGTTTGAAAGTCATCTAGAGTTTTCTCAAGACTTTCGTCTGAACGAACTGTAAAGATTCTCATTTCGTCAAATTTGTCTATTAGACCATCAGAACCTTCATACTGCCCATGAAAATATACTGCGAACATAAATGCGTTAGTTCTATTTGAAAACAAAACTCTTCTAAATCCTATTGCCTTTGCATCTGAAGGACTTTGAAGCCAACGAATTGGATAGTCAAACCTGTATGCTCGGGATGAAATTTCTTCATCTGAAATAGTCCTACCAGCATTTGTAAAGATATAGTCTAACGGTTTTGTATCTGCTACTTTTGTTCTTTGTTTTTCAACCTGAAGCATTTAATATATGTAAAAATATATTGTTTTAAAATGGTATGCCATATAGCTTCTTGAATTTGTTAAGAAGTATTTGAACGTATTTTCCATCTGTATCTCTAGTGTTTACATAAGCAAACTCAGCGTACATTTCAAATAAAATAAAAAAAATGTCACTTTTTTGAAATAAATTTTTTATTTCATGCAATGTTTTATTTCTGTGCCGTCTTCTTTAACACCCCAGTACTTACGCTTGGAGAGGACATGAACTTCGGAAAATACCTTATCTAGCTTAAAACAGCCCATCTTTTCACCGACTAAACCCATTTCAATGAGTTTGTTATAGCCTTCTTCGTTCGTCATGAGTGCGTCAATGTTCTCATAGTAAACCTTCACTTTGGATTTGACTTCCGAGAAGAATTTGTTGTAGTTGTCAAGGACTGCCTTTGCGAACTGAGGGTAAGACCAATGTTCGACAATAGGTTTTAATGTGGTTACTAAGCCACTTTGACCTTGAGTGAATTCGTACTTCAAAACAAAAGGAGAAAACCTTTCAACAAAGTTGTCGACCTTCTCATAATGTTTACTCTTCATCTCTTGAGGTTTCTTAATGGAATATCCCCATGTCGAATTCATAAGCAATTTGAGTGTCATTGCAAGTTTGGGGTTTGAAGCTTTCCTAATATCATACAGTTGTTGTATGACTTTTCCAACTGTATAGTTCCTTCCCGGGAACTCACCATCTTCGTTTGGAATTCCAGTCGGAATATATTGGACAAACCTCATGTATGCAGCGTTAAGGTCGACATAGTATATCTTTTCATCTGAGTCGAACTTGTCGCAACCAATTGGTCCAGTTTGTGGAAATTCAAGTGAGTCTCTTATCTTCTGAGAAACTTCTCCTGTTATCTCATAAACATCGTCGAAGCAACCTGTTTCATATAAAACCTTCTGACCTAACTCAGATGCTCTCCAATACAATTTGACGTCAATTGGATGTCTCAATGGAAGTTTGTTTATAGCATCTTGAAGTTCTTGCAACCTCATTGGAAGTTCTTCTGGTTCAGGTTGGTATCCGAACATACCCCTTGTGGGAAACTGTACTTCTTTTGTACTAGAACTTTGTCTGGAACAACTTTTGGTCTTGCTAACAATGAAAAGTTTGTTTCGTCTTTTGGTACAAAAGTTTCTGTCAGCTTGTCATCTGGAATTGGTTCCAACAAACCTTTCTCGAAAAGAATGTTTACAGCTCTGACAATGTTGCACTTGCTTTTACCAAAGAATGGGTTTGTAAGACTTTCGTTCAACATGAAGTGGTTGTGGACAATTACAATCTTCAACCATGGTAAGTCTTTGTCAACAACATAGTCGTCGTGTGAAGAACCTTTAGCTGTAGGTATGTTGACTCGGATATTGACATTTGCCAACGGTGCAATTTTTGCCAATTGACTTCTGAGAATGTACCTTGTCTTCACACATGACTCAAGATACTTCATCTTCTCATCTGTAACAAGACCAGAGTTCCTGAGACATGTAAGAATGCAAGGTTCGTTGACAATTGTTTCAATTGAATTGTAAATTCCATACCTTGTCAAGTCAATGTCAGACTTATTTATGAACGGGAAGTATCCAGCATGTTGTCTGACTGCTTGAGGGTTAGGTTGGTACCATTCGAACTTGACACTTGCAATTCCTTCAATTGCATTCAAAATGTCTGAGTCGGAGTCAACCATTTGTTCTCTCTTTGTAGTCTTGAAAGCGTCAAGAAGTTTTGCGGCTGTTTGTTCATTGCCATGTGCATAGTAAATGTGACCATCCAAATCTGTTATGGTCAATCTGAGATTGTGTCCTTTCTTATTTCCGTCTTGAATTGCAGCAAGTACACCCATGAAGCCTTCTTTGTTCTTTCCTTCGTCAAAGTTTACTGTAAAGGTTCGACCAGATGTAATTTGACTTCTAACTTCACGATACTTTTCATATGCATATCTTGTTCTTTCCATGGGAGCATGTGCGTCTTCACCTTTTCCTTTTTTCCTTCTCAAAGGATGCAATTGTTCGTCATGTTTCCAGTAGAATCTGGCAAAGCCGTCGTGTCCTTCAACTTGAGGTTCACTAACATCGAAAGGCATGTCCATAAGACGTTCTTCTTCTAACCTCTCTAGTCTGTTTGGATAATTGGCACGTGCTGTTTCCAAATCCATTTTGTAGCGAAGACCAGACAATTTGTCATAGACTTTTATGGGTCTTCCCTTCCTATATTTAAAATTCTTCGAAACTCTCCAACCATATCTTTGTAACTCTGCTTTTATTCTAGCAGACTTTCTATCCATTCTATATGGGGGCATTTTTATAAAAATAAAAAATATTTTTTTCTTTACTTTACATAACCGCCTGCTGCCATAAGTCTTTGACGCCAACCCATACCAGCTAATGAAGGTTGACTTGGTTTAGTTTGGAAACTAAACTTTGGTTTTGGTTTATCTTCAGTTTTTGGTTTTTCTTCTTCTATCGGTTTTTCGTCACTTTTCGGTTTCCTCTGACTTTACTTCACTTGCAGGAACAGTTGTGTCGTCAACATCTTCATAAATATCATATGCCATTTGTTTTTGTTTTCCTTTCAACTTTTTGTGTTTGTTGTAAAGTTTAGAATATTTCGACTCTAAGTCAATGAGATGTTCTATAATGAACTGTTGGTCAGTGAAGTAAACTTTTCCATCTGTTGTCTCGAAAGCTCCTTCAGACTTCAATATTTTATTTGTGAGAGTCTGTTTCTTTTTTGAGATACTAGCCGTTCCATTTCTATGAAAAGTGACTTTATAGTTAGGGTTTGTATTTCCAGACCTGGCACTTTCTATTATTGAATTTTTCTCTTCATCTCTAAGTTCTTTGACAGGTTTTGACAATGGTTCTGAACTTTTTGTTTGTGGTGTCAAATCTACCGTTTCAACTTCTTCGGTCATTTCATCTCAGTAAAAAATTTTAATTTGGTTTGTTTTCAACTGGTTGTTTAGGTTTTTTAAGTCGGTCTAAAACTTCCTGAGGTATAGGAAGAACTTTACAAACACGTGTGTAAATGCTGGAAGCCGACAAATCCATCTTGAACTCATTTGTCTCAATGCTGCATTGTTCATTTCATCTCAATAAAAAAACTTTACATTCCCCACGTTTGAGGCGGTTGAGGTTGGTTATTGTTTACCCACTGTTGTGCATGGTTATATCCTCTGTTAAAGAATCTTTCACCTTGGTCCATATAGTGTCCTGCTTGGTTATAGTAGTCATTTGCTTTGTTATAATAGTTTCCTGCTTGTCTTCCTACATTGTCCATCCATCCTTGAACTTTTCCTCTTGTTTCAGGATTTGGAATAAGATTTGTTGCATCTTGTGCTACATCCCAACCTTTCTGTACAGTT